GTGCCCAATAAAAACTTCTGTCTACTGGACAACCGAACCCGTGTCTGTCGTTTTCTGACAAAACCATTGGCTTTAGCCAAGAAGGATCCCATGGCAGCTCATCAGTGATCTAGGAAGGTGTTTCTCAACCTTAGCAACTTTAAGATGTGTGAAGATCAAGCTGGCTGGGGAATTCTGGAAGTCGAAATCCACACATCTTAAAGATGCATGTGTGGAGTTGAAGTCTATACATCTTAAAGTTGCCAAAGTTGACAACACTGATCTAAGCAATCCTTGTCCAGCATAACAAGGGAAAGGGACCACTGGGAAGGAGGGGAGGGAAAACAAATGAAGCACATTCAGGTATGGATTCTTACAAAATAATCCTAATTCCTGGCCTGAGGTCAGTGGCTAGGAGACATGGTGTTATCTTAATGACTCTCTGCCTGCAGAAATGAACACTGCTCTGGAAGAGGCTGTTCCATAATGGAATTTCCCTATTGTTCCTGGTTAGGTTGCCAACTGATAGCAGAAGTCCAACATGGAACTCTTCACAAGCAGAAAAGATTCAGCTTTCCAGATCGACCCCAAGAAACACACTAGAAGGAAATTTAGACTTTGCCTGCTTGGTTGAGAAAGTCAGGGGGAAAAAATCATAAATCTTTTTCTCTTGCTGGCATGAGTTAACCTCCCTTTGGATGAGATAGTGATTCTCTTTGATGTTCCTCTTTGGCCCACTAATGCCTATTCTGCCTATTATAGTGTTTGTTTAAGGAGCAACCTAGAATAGAAACCATTTAAGGATAATAAAAGCTGCCAGTCTCTCAACTGCACTAACAGTGTGGCCTGCTTCTCATTTCTACCTCTCTTTTGATAAAAATTTTGCTAGTGGCATGCCATTTCTACTATTGCAACCCTTGGAAGTTGATATCAAAAATCTATCTTGTTGATTTTATTTTATATTTTGAAAACTCCATTGAAAATCTCACCCTGCAGAAAGGTTTTTAAACTTAAAATATATTGAATCAGATTTAGATGTAGAAACTAATAACTACCATACAGACTTCTTTTAAATAAATATCACCAAAGTTTGACAATGTAAACATTTAATTTTAGCTACCAGAGCTCATTTTTATAGAAGAGAAAGAATCAGAAGAAGAAGCTGAAGAAGAAGAAGCTGAAGGTGAGTCTTATTATATAAAAGCTTTTAGATACCAATGCAATTATACAGATGTTCATAAACTGGACGAACTCTATGAAACATTTTGGTGCAATATTGTTTGTAGCAGCAAACAAATACTAGTGGTTTCAGGCAGGGGGATCCACAGAGGGGTCAAAGATTTTGAATGTGATCATATGATCAAATGACCTTTTTAAATGTGCATCATGCACATGATTGATTGACTGATTGATTGATTATGTGCCAGCAACTCATTGCCAACTCTTAGTGACCAGATAGATAGAATTTCTCCACAATGATCTGTCCCCAACCTGGTCCTTCAGCTCTTCCAATGGCACCTCCATTGCCACTGTAATTAAGTCTATCCACCTTGCTGCTTGTTGTCTTCTTCTCTTTCTTTCCACCTTTCCCAGCATTAGAGTCTTCTCCACAGAGCTAGGTCTTTGCATAATGTGTCTGAAATAGAATAATTTGAGCCTGGTCATTTGTGCCTCAAGTGAGAACTCCGGATTGATTTGTTCACTGATCCACTGGTTTGTTTTCTTGGCTGTCCACGGTATTCTCAGGAGTCTTCTCCAACACCAAACTTCAAAAGCATCAATACTGTTCCTATCTTGTTTCTTCATAGTTCAACTTTCAGTTCCATAGAGTGTCACAGGGAATACTGTGGCTTGCATGATTCTGATCTTTGTAGGTATAGATACATCATAGCATTTGAATATGTTTTCCAAGGCTTTCATGACTGCTCTGCCAACTGCTAGTCTGCAGCGTATTTCTTGACTGCTTGTTCCTTTACTGTTGATAGTTGTTCCTAAAAGGCAGGCCACTTTGATATCTTCATTGTCAATTCTAAGGCTGATTGTTCTATCTGTTGTCATTAGTTTGATCTTCTTTATATTTAATTATTTTAAAAGGGCCAAGCCTTTGATTAGGAGTGATAGATGCCATAATAACTATTTAAAATGCTTTTCCCCCCTCCCCCACCACAACATCTCTGGATTCAGGAAACAAGAATTAAAGGTCTTTTTCTCCATATGGTGGAGAAATCCAGATGCTGGTGGTAGAAATGATGGCATAGTATGTATGGTGTATGTTTTTTTTTTTTAATGTGCTTTGTTAAACAGATAATGGTGATAATATAATAGTACAAACAAAAGTTACAAATAACAAATTAATCTTTCATTATTGTGCAGATAGTGACAAAACATATAGTTAAAATTAATGATAAAATAAACAATCATTTTAAAGCTATGTTGATAATCCAATGAATTTCATACCAAAATGCAATAGTAAGACAAGCCCAATCTATGTGATTTAGTTTTCCAACTGCATCTCTAATAGCAAGGCAACTGTAACCAACGGACTTCCCCTAAACAAGCATGTGTCCCAGCCTGGCAGAAGACCCCAAAGAACCTAATTAGAGATTGATTTCTCACAGTGAATGAAAGCAGACAAACAGATCTATTTTCTTGCAGTAACAGGACCCTGGAGAGTTCACAGCAAAAGTTTAACAGACTGGGTTAACCATCAACAAAAAAGCTGTTCCATGATTTTTATGTGCCCAAGGAAGCCTTGAATAAGCTGACAGTGCCAAGAGATGCCTTAACTCTATCCTTGTTTGGTTGTTGGGTCCTTTCTGGACCCTCAAACTTCTGCATGACCGGGAAACTGCAAAGGCTATAGAAAAATCATCTTTGTCGGAACTGTAAATGTCCTGAAGGACGCTAATCTCAGTTTGGGAAAACAGGGTGCTGACGGCTTTCTCTGAATTGGTGTAATATGAGTTCTACCATACCCCGAATCTTCATCAGGGGATTGCTGGGACCCTGAACTGGGGACTTCACACCCGACTGTTCAGTGCATTTTTAAACATCTTTTAACATTTATATCCCCCTCTTTCCTCTGGGAGCTCAAGACAGTACACATGACTCTCCCCCCCCCCCCCATTTTCTTATCACAAAACAATCCCGGATGGCAGATTGGGCTGAGAGATCATGACCAGCTGAAAGCCATCCAATGAATACGCATGATCCAGTGGGAATCTCTCCTCAGTCCCAGCCCAATGACTTGACTATTAGCACCATACAGGGGGATGCAGTTCTGTTTTCAGTGTGGAAGTGAAATTCCAATCTCAGTCCAATAGCCTTTTGTGAGTGAAATGGGGATACCAGTTTGCTCTATGCTGCTGGCATCAAAATACTTTTGCTCAGCCCTGGGGCTGCCTCCATGCCTATATTGTATTCAGAGT